AAGATGCAGCATACCAAGGATGGCATTGAGCTAGACTTAGGGGTGAACCACGTGGGTCCCTTCCTTCTCACCCATCTACTGGCTAGTGGTCTACGGGCTGCAGCACCGTCCCGCATTATCATCATCTCCTCCTACTGCCATGCCTGTAAGTCCCGTAGTGTCATTGCGGACTGTTGTGTGAGTAATGTGCATCTCCTCTCTCATGCTTTGTATCACCTTGTCACTGCAGAACCTGCCCTGAGTGGAAACCTATGTAGCTAAACCAGGTGGCATCCACTTGGCTTTTTCACAAAGTAACAAAGACCTTTGGGAAAAACTGCTGCTTATCATAAAACAGCTCGAGGAGCATGGACTCATGGAATTTGTATAATCTTTGCATAAGGGGATAAGAAACAACAAAGTAACAAGACCAAATAGAAGCAAACCTCCCTATAACAACATCACTTAGTACAGTAGAACCTCCATGAGAAGACATTTAGGCTAGAGGACATCTCTCTAAAGGGTAGTTTTTATTTGCAAAATTACCGTTTTTACTATAAGCAACTCTCCAGTAGGAGGACACCTCTCCCTAAAGGACACTTTGGCTCTGCAATTAGGTGTCCTTTACATGAAGGTTGGTTCTACTATACAAAGATTTTATATTATATATTATATTTTATTAAATAACACTTTTTTGTTGTTATTACCATGGTTCAGATCATTGGAACTTGAAATTTGAGACCTTAGAATTATGATTATGGTCGGTGGAAGGCTGGTTAAACCGTTTGGTTTTCGACCACTATGACCCGGGTTCATTCCCGCATTGGACACTTTTTTCTGTTTAAAAAAAAAAATGCTCCAATGGCCCCCGATTCTTGCAAAAGTCCAACCCCACCAGCGAGTGCAAGTAACCAAACGGGGCTCAGGCACATTTGTAAGTGCAAAGTCGAACTGCTTTTCACATGTGTATACATGTGGGGGCTTATAGTAAAAGCAGTCGCCTTCTTCTACCCACCATGATTATCATGGCCTGTACCACGTGTACTAGGGATAAGCAAAAAAAAAAAAAAAGATGTTGAAACCAAGTTGCTCTTATAAAAGGTGCTGTTATCATTTTAGAGGTGGAGGTGTACTTGGTGACAGTTCCCTCAGAAACGACGTGCTTAGCCAACTTTCCAGGTAGAAGAAGGCAGTCTGGACCTCCCTGCTGGTGATGGCTTGTTGTAGTGGGCCAGGAGACTCACCAGCAATACGCTCGAAGATATCGTTCACGATGGAGTTCATGATGGACATGGCATTGCTAGAGATTCCAGTGTTAGGGTGGACCATCACCTTGTAGATGTAGATAGAGAAGCTCTGCTTTCTCTTCTTCCTTTGCTTATTCTTGTTGATGGTGCGCACAGCTTTCTGTGCCTTATCAGCCTTCTTGATGGCTTTTCCAGATTCAGCAGGCAGCATGTTGTTCACCTAGATGAAGTTATCATTTTAGAGTTTCTCAAGGCTATCTTCAGAATAGAGTTCACGAATGGATGATGAGGTTAGGGAGGTTGGAAGTTAGTGGGACAACCTTGCACTTGTTCTGAAAGATCATTATTTGTAGCCAACACCTCAATACTTTTTTTGATTATCCCTAGTACACGTGGTACAGGCCATGATAATCATGGTGGGTAAAAGTTGGTGACTGCTTTTACTGTAAGTGCACCACATGTCTGCACATGTGAAAAGCAGTTCGACTTTGC